CCCATCTCGCCCAGACCCAATCAGCCAGACCCCAGCAGCAAGCTAACCTACCAGTTGGAGCCTCTGCCCCTGGTGGTCAGTGCACATCATAGCGACTGGTCAAACGGTTGACTGAAGGGTTGGACACTTAGCATATTATGCTTTTATTATATAGGATTATATAGGTTATGCATTACCTATAGACACAGACTATACGGTGGCAAAGGCCTGGGACAGGGCAGGAATGGGTTGGAGCGGGGAAATGGGTGGGAAAAAAGAGGGACATCTGTAATAATATAAACAATAAAGACCAAAAGAAATAAAAAATAAAAGTGGGCAAAGGACCTAAATAGACACTTTTAACATGGAACTGGAACAGACTGCTGATTCTTAAAGGGATGGGGGTGTGGGGGCATGGGAAGAGATTAGACAAAGATCTTATATTCATGTATGCATTACCTATGGACAAGACAATAGGTGGCGAGGGCCTGGGGTGGGGTGGGAACCGGGTGGAGGGAAGCTATGGGAAGAAAAAAAGAGGGACATCTGTAATAATCTCAACAATAAAGATTAATTTTAAAAAAAAAGAAAAGGGGAGGGAGAGAGAGAGAAACCAATCAAAAAAAATGGGCAAAGGACCTAAATAGACACTTTTCAAAAGAGGACATACAGAATCCCAAGAGACATATGAAAACATACTCAGTCACTAATCATCCAAGAAATGCAAATCAGAATGACAATGAGGTATCATCTCACACCTGTTCAGAATGACTATCATCAACAAATCAACAAATGGCAAATGCTGGAGAGAATGTGGAGAAAAAGGAGCCCTTGTGCAGTGCTGGTAGGAATGCAGAGTGGTGCAGCCACTGTGGAAGACAGTATGGAGTTTATTCAAAAAAATTAAAAATGGAACTCCCATTTGACCCAGTAATCCCACTGCTAGGACTATATCCCCAGAAATCAGAAACACTAATCAGAAAGGATATATGCACCCCTAAGTTCATAGCTAGATTTAGAAACAGCTTAAATGTCAATCAACAGATGAGTGGATTAAAAAACTGTGGTACATCTACACAATGGAATACTAAGCAGCTGTAAAAAAGAAGGAACACTTACCATTTGCAACAGCATGGATAGATCTGGAAAGCATTTTTCTAAACTACATTAGCCAGTCGGAGAAAGATAAATATCACATGATCTCACTCAGTCAAACCTCAGAGGGAAAGCAGGGGAGGTGGGGTAAGAGATCAACCAAAAGACCTGTATGCATGCACATTAGAATAACCAATGGACACCGACTCTGGGGTGGTGGGGGCTTGTCCTTGGGGATGGGAGTGGTTGGGGAGGGGTTGGTGGGGAAAAAGGAAACATGCAATATTTTATAAAAAAATATCGCAATACATTTTAAAATATGTTATGACTGCCCTGGCCGGTTTGGCTCAGTGCATAGAGCGTCGGCCTGCGGACTGAAGAGTCCCAGGTTCAATTCCAGTCAAGGGCATGTACCTTGGCTGCAGGTGCATTCCCAGTAGGGAATGTGCAGGAGGCAACTGATCGATGTTTCTCTCATCGATGTTTCTATCTCTATCCCTCTCCCTTCTTCTCTGTAACTACCAATTTGTACTATTGGCTCACTGAGAAGATGCACATCTGAGACTTCAATGTCTCTGCCATGCATGGAGATATGGACCAAAAGGAATGAAATGTAACCATTTCATTCTGGCTTTAGCAGATTACCACTGACCTGCTGGCCAGAGGCAGTGACATGCAGCAGGTTTCTTTAGTCATCAACTGACCTTCCACCAACAGGGAAAACTATATCCACAGAATCGGCCGGGGTGGATGTTTTAGCCATAAAGGTGTGGCTTATAATATGGAGACAGAAGACAAGAGGACTCTTCGAGACATCGAGACCTTCTACACCACCTCCATTGAGGAGATACCCCTCAATGTTGCTGACCTCTTCTGAGTGGGGCTGGTCTATCTCATCCCAGTCAGGGTCCTCAGTCCTTGGCAGGCAGAGGAGCAGGAGAGTGGAGGGAAGGGATGACAAGATGCCATTTTTTTTTCTTTTTCTCTTTTTTCCCTTTGAATATATGTCACTTTTTGAGGCAAAGAAGGAACCATGAACAATTTACCCTTTTCTTTGGGGTAGGCTCATGCCCCAGGCACTGTTTCTTCTTCCAAAAAGACTATTCTACTTCCCTAACCTAGTCAACCTCCAAATCCCAGAGACTCCCTGCTCCAGCCAAATTCCTCTGAAAATGACTCAAACGGGCTATAATGTCACTCAACCTCATTTACTGGTCTGTAGGGAGAACCCCTGAGTTAGGTGGCCCAGGGGATTGTCCCCATGTAGGGGGAGCAGGGAAGAAAAAATAGCAGCCATTTTTATATTGTTTTGTATGGTATTTATTGATTCAGGAAACAAAATTTTGAATAAAATTACTTGGAAACAAACAAAAAAAGGTTCCAAAGGACAAGACCAATGACACAATATACACTTGTTTAAAAAGTAACTTCTACAGTAATATAACTTTCCTTCAGAACTACTTGAAGAACTATATTCTTCAAGTCGCAAACACTGAATAAAAACATGCTTATTACTTACTAGTCAATCTAATACCAAATCTGAATCACTGAAATGAAGGTTGGATTTTGCAGTATCAATATTTTCCACACCCATGTTAATTGTATTTCAAAATTAATTCTTATATTTTCTGCAAAAATATAATTCTTGCCCTAACTGGTATGGCTCAGTGTGTAGAGCGTCATCCTATGGACTCAAGGGCCCCAGGTTCAATTCCGGTCAAGGGCATATCCTTGGTTGGTGTGCAGGAGGCAGCTGATCAATGTTTCTCTCTCACTGATGTTTCTCTCTATCCTTTTCCCTCCTGCTCTGTAAAAAAATCAATAAAAATTTATTTAAAAAATATATATGTAATTCTTGGTTGAGGAAAATATGACTAAAGGTAATGACTTACCAAATAGTTATGTACCTGTGGCCAAAAATACTCAACTGGAGGATAGAAAATAATGTCTGCTTTATTTATTAATTTTTTTATTTTTGTTAATCCTCACCTGAGGATATTTTTCCATTGATTTTTAGAGAGTGGAAGGGAGGGGAAGAGACACAGAAATATCAATGTGAGAGAGACACATCAATTGGTTAACGCCTGCATGCACTCAAAGGGGGCCAGGGGTAGAGCTTGCAACAGAGATATGTGACCTTAACCAGAACAGAACCTAAGGCCCTTTAGTTGGCAGGCAGATGCTCTATCCACTGAGCTCAAAGATTAGTGCTAATATTTGTTTTTCTATGTGCAAATTTCCTTCAGCAGGTGAGAGATTAACTGGAAAATGGGAGGATCAACATTGCATACTTGGATAGCAAATTTTTAAAATAAAATCATGGACTCTGAAATTTCTAGTTGTAGAGAGTAATGATTAATGGTTCACAGAGGAATTAAAAAAGGACATGATTAAGTAAAGTTAGTTTATTTTACCTGCAGCTCCTGCAATATAAACTGAATGTAAATGCTGATAGTGAGACATATAAAGAAGAATTACTGGTAAATGTCAAAACATCATGCCTTCCAATCCATCTTCCATGAACTTCTTATAAAGTGCCATAAATTTGGCCACAAATGCTTCCAAGTGATAAATGGCTTTACTACCCAGCTGCAGACGATGTTCATAGTAAGCTGCCATCTGGGCCACTTCTCCTTTCAGTTGTCCATCACAATTATGTAAAAGCTCTGAGAGAAGGCCCTAAAGAAAGATAACTAGTAATTAAAAAATTATTTAAAAAGGATATTAGCCAAACAAGGTTTATTTCTCATTCAAAACAGAAGTAAATCTTAAGTTAAATATGTTGAGAACTACATGATGCATATCCTTCAGGTCTCAAACACTTAATGAAAACATGCTTCAAGTGAAACATGTTCTTTTCTTATGTGTGAAATCCTTAATTTTTTATATTCATCCAAAAGCAAAAAAACAAAGTGTACTTTTCTATAATGTAAAAATGTGGCAATTATTTAGCATAATTCAATACTTAAATGTACAAGGACTCAAAGATATAAGTACAAAGATGCTTATTACAACATTAATTATAATAATCTATATGGCAACCTAAAGTTCCACCAATACAGACCACATTTAAAAAAATACAACTATAATATACAATGGAATCCCATTCATACATTAAAAACAGTAAGGTAGCCCAGCCAGCATAGCTCAGTGGTTGAGAGTTGACCTATGACCCAGGAGATCACGGTTTGATTCCTGGTCAGGGCACATGCCCAGGTTGCGGGCTCAATCCCCAGTGTAGGGCATGCAGGAAGCAGCTGGTCAATGACTCTCTCTTATTATTGATGTTTCTATCACTCCCTCTCCCTTCCTCTCAGAAATCAATAATAAAAATATATTTTAAAAAAAGAGAGTAAGGTAAATATGGACTGTCATGAACCAACACACATTACAATGTTGAATGAGAAACACAGTGCAGAAGACTGTCAAGGTTTGTGAAACTACACACACACACACACACACACACACACACACACACACACACTATGGGCTTACAGACAGTCCTCGGTTATGTCAGACTCAACATACGTCATTTCATGGTTACATCACCATCTTCCATTTATTTATTAAAAAAGTTCAGTCATTTCGACATATGTACATACCAGTGGCCCAGTGCACGAAATTCATGCAGGGGAGAGGGTGTGTTCCTCAGCCTGGCCTGCACCCTCGCCAATTTGGGACCCCTCAAAGGATGTCCTACTGCCAGTTTATAGGGATCAGGCCTAAACCAGCAGTCGGACATCCCTCTCGCAATCCAGGACAACTGGCTCCTAACCGCTCACCTGCCTGTCTGCCTGATCACCACTAACTACTCTGCCTCCCTGCCTGGTTGCACCTAACTGCTCTCCCCTGCCAGCCTGGTCCCACAAACTGCTCTCCCCTGTTGGCCTGGTTGCCCCTAACTGCCTCAGCCTTGGC